CTGTGGTGAAGACAGGCCCTGAAAAGGTTATTTTTAACAGACTGGTTGGCAGCCTGAACATGTAGAAAGTAAGACAAGTTGTTCCACTAAAAGGCAGAATATATTAAGCCACAAGCCTACAACTAACGTGATGCCTTAGCAGCAGGAGGGACTCTGGAGAGCTGTAGAACATTCAGTGGGTCCACACAGGTTCCCCAAAATGGGGTGTCCTGTAAGTTTGAACTGGTTGTGCCCTGACATGTTTTTCATAAAGTTTCAGACTCTCATACTTCTTAGACTTCCACATAAATATTTCATAGTGATTTCACTTCCTTCTTCGCATTTGTATATTTAGAACACCCTGGAGCACAATTTTATTAATTTTTTCATTGAGGCAAATGAAATACCTTGTTCTCCCACACTGACTCTCTCACTCTTACCCAAAGTCACCTTAATTGGTAAATCCAATATTTGTATTTTACTTCTATCACTGCCGCAGAAAATTCACTGTTCATATTATCACGCTGTGATCAGTGAACACATCCAGACACTCCCTCCCTCCCCCCTTTGGTGATCTGTGCGTAGTTTAGAGCAAGAATAGTTGGTATTTGCCCATCAATGCATGCTCTTCCATTTTGAATCATTTGTCATCCTAGTCCTCAAGGTCTCCCAGTTACCTCTTCGTTGCCTCCTCTGTACTCAGTGATGCCTCTGAACTTTGTATCATTGCAAATATCATCAGCACACACGACTGGTTTTCCTGCTACAGGTCATTAAATAAAAAGAGTCCTGCTCCTGATCCCGAGAAAGTCCAGACTGAGACTGCCTTTCACCACCTCCTTTAGTAATTTTCCACTAGTCACTCCCTTACCCTACTTGCAATTCACATACTGATCTACTTCTCCAGCTTGCTTCATTTCTCATGGGACACCATAACAACACTTCTGGAATGTCTATACAAAAGACATTTTTTTAAACCACATTTCCTAATGTGGAAAAACACAGCTCTTTACTCTTATTTTCTATTGACCTTTTAGTTATTTGTTTGCTGAAAATTTGCTTCAAACTCTTGCAGCAGATGACTACGCAAATAAAACAGGTTTTTAGACCTATTTCATTGTTCACATAACTCAGCCCAGGAGCTCAATGAGGTTTTTGATCGCTAGAAGTGTATAGCCAGCATATGGCAAGTAGCAAGTGAACAAATCAGGACAGGAAACAATGCTTTGTAGGTGACAGCTTTCTAGGCCTTATCATATTAGAAAGAAGGACCTGAGTCTAAAAATTTAACTGCCTTGATAATTTCTTCTTTTTCCAGTGCTGTCTTATATTTCATAGAATCGTTTGGGTTGGAAAAGCCCTTTAAAATCACCAAGCCCAACCGTTTCCCTAACCCTGCCATCCCACCCCCAAACCCTGGCCCTCAGCACCTCGTCTGCCCGGCTTCTAACTCACAACCGTTTCCCTAACCCTGCCATCCCACCCCCAAACCCTGGCCCTCAGCACCTCGTCTGCCCGGCTTTTAAATCCCCCCAGGGCTGGGGACTCGCCCCCTTCCCTGGGCAGCCCCTTCCAGTGCCTGACAGCCCTTTCGGGGAAGATATTTTTCCTCATGTCCAACCTAAACCTGCCCTGGCACAACTTGAGGCCATTTCCTCTTGTCCTTTGTCTTTCTATGGATCACTCCACACCAGCAGCCAATCTTCCCCTTGTCTAAGTACAAATACAAATGCGGTGAACAGGGATGAGCAACTAATCTGACCTAAAACTGATTCTGAGGAGAGTTCTAACCTGTTCAGTTCCCTGATCAAATTCACATCAGAGAGTAAATATGAGTGTCAGATGGGAAAGAGGGGAGAGGCATAGCTCTTTTCTTTGACAAAGATGCTGGCTTAAAAAGAACGATGGAACTGAGATGCAGGGTTGTTTAGCACCATGGAAATCAGGTAATAACAGTGCTCTAGCCTGAGAGATTTTGACATAAACAAGACAATACCTGCTTGTAAAGGCCACTGCTATCTTTTTAATTGATGAAGCTGCAAAAAATACCAGATCAGTTGTCAGGCAGGGAAGTGTTTTCTTCCTTCTAATGATGTGTAGCCTCCAACTGACCATAACACGTGCCTCATCCCGCCTACGGTTAAAGCACTAAGACCCTTAAAGATCTGCAACATGTGGATGGAGAAAAAGAAGTTGATCTCTGTTGCCACTCTGCCATGAATAACAAACTGAAATCCCCTTCATGCCCTCCTGGCAGTAAGCAATTTATGAGCCTAAGTTGGGAAGGAAAGTAGAAAGTAATTTGCTGAAAAATGAGGCTTGGATCCTGGCAACTAAATATAATAGGATCCTTTTCCATTCTTATTGCTCTCCTTTCAGGGAAAAAACCGCACTGAAACAATGAACAATATAAAGCTGTCCATGTAGTTATTCCCCCTTTTTGCAAGGCTGACAAATGATGATGATCACAGACAAACACCTAGAGGAATCAAATGCTGCTTTATGTCCTGACGCTGCTTTCCAATACAGTTAGGAGCTGAGACTGTGATTTAAACTATGATTGCACGAGCATATTTAACTTTACTTCAAGTCTATGCAACCCATTCAGTTGGAAAATACTTACTGAAATTACACTGGGATTTTTTTTTTGCTGCACTCTAAAGTAAAGGGACAAGTTTTAAGAAAATAACCTTGCTTAGCTGTGCAGTCAGAGAAATGTTTCCTCTGGATTTACAACATATTTGGCAAAGATTGTGAAAAAGTAAGTGCATAGTTGAACGTTTGGAATTTGGCCATAACTGTATGTTCTCCATAAAAATCAATTTGGAAAGAGTTGTTGTAAAAAGATCAGCACTTTTATAGGCCTAAATCTTTCCTACATTGATTCCTCATGTATAAATTATAACAGGGAATTCATATTCTGAACCTAAGAGAAACCAGATGCAAAAAATTAAAGGTCTCGGACAACAGTTTAAAGTTTCCCTATTTCCCAACAAATCATAACTTCCATTGTCAATGGGACAATACCTACGTCAATGCATCAAACTGGAATACAGTGAAACTGTGATGTATTTATTGCAATAAGCCTATGTTGAGCAAATAATTGATTAAACAAATAAAAGTTCAGTATCAGTAGTAAATTCTGCTACTGGTATTAACAAAATTACTTGTCCTGGTTTCAGCTGGGATAAGAGTTAATTTTCTTCATAGTAGCTAGCACAGTGCTGTGTTTTGGATTTAGTACCAGAAGAATGTTGATAACACACTGATGTTTTTAGTTGTTGCCAAGTAGTGCTCAGACTACTCAAGGACTTTTTGAGCTTCTCCTGCTCGGCCAGGGGCATAACAAGCTGGGAGTACAGCACAGCTAG